AAGAAGAAGAAGAAGAAGAAGGAGAGAGAAGAGAAGAGAAGAGAAGAGAAGAGAAGAGAAGAGAAGAGAAGAGAAGAGAAGGGAGAATGGAGAGAGAGAGGTCAGGAGAACCTATGGACACTGAGAGCTATTAAAGAGGGGACACAGACAGAGGGGCCCTGCAGACAAGAAAACAGTTCCAGAAAGGTGGGCATGATGGGCCCTGGATGGCTTCTGACACACCATGGCCCCTTTCTCTTACAGGATTTTATAGGAAGCCCACGCTTTCAGTCCACCCAGGTCCCACAGTGACCTCAGGACAGAATGTGACCCTGCAGTGTCGCTCGGAAAGCTGGTTTGACACATTCCACCTGTTCAAGGAGAACCACACGGGGCCCCTCTTACATCTTTACATGCAGAATCACGCTGGGTCGCTCCATATTAACTTCACCCTGAGCCCTGTGGCCTCAGCCCACGGGGGGAGCTACAGGTGCTACAGTTCACACAGCACCTCTCCCTACCTGCTGTCACACCCCAGTGACCCTCTGGAGCTGGTGGTCTCAGGTAAGGAACATCTGGTCAGGCCTCCCTTGTCCTCATAGTTCAGAGCCCAGGAGAGAGCTCCAGGCTGGTGGGGAGGAAGGGGGGGTCTGAAGAAGTCCCCCAAAGGAGATCTCCCTCTAGGGAGGGACCAGGGCGGGATGGTGAAGGATGATGCCTCATCCTCAATTCTCAGCTTTGAGGCACACATGTCCTCTTGGTGGGGAGCAAGGGACTGGAAAGGGTCAAGGTTGACCAAAGAGAAAGTCTCGAAGAACCCTCATTTTCTTCTCCTCGGAATCTTCACTTTTGCAGACTCTCTCCCAGAGACCAAATCAAGAGTGGGTGAGTACCAGAGGGCTCTCTCTCCCTGGGGGTCTGCACACTTACGCTGTCAGCTAAAAGAGATAGTACTCCATGCACTCCAGCAATGTATGTCTGTGAGGCTGAGAAATGAGCAGAGATAAGGGCCTTGACCCAGGTCTGAAGTGTCCTAGTGCTGGAACCCAGGGAGAAGTGGTCACAGCAGAGAGAGAATTAAGGTCTGAGGGCAGGAGTGGGGGACTGATGCCCTTCACTCTGTCCTGGGAACAGGATGCAGACATGAACTCTCTGACAGGTGGGTGAGGGGCTCTCACTTGGGAGGGGAAGGTGCAAGGAGCCCAGTGCTTTGTTCTCTAACTTTCCCTGCAGGAAGAAAAGGCCCTGTCACCATTTACAAAAGGGAAGCAGCCCAGCGTGACATCATGTGGGAGGGACCAGACAGTGACAGGGCAGCTGTGATATCATGGAGAAGGGACCAGACAGTGACAGGGCTGTGACATCATGTGGGAGGGACAGGACAGTGGGAGGGAAGCTGTGACACTGGGTGGGGAGGGATAACAGTGGGAGGGTATTGTTGATCGAGGGTAAAGTATATTAATGATGAGACAGAACACCAAGAATGTGTAAGTAAACAGAGGTAAAGCAGGAGGCGAACAGTTTAAACAACTGAAGCTCAGAACCCAGCTTCCCTGGGCCTTTATTGAAAGTTGCCAGGGAGCAAATCACAAAGAGAATGCTATGCACATGAAGCTAATTTCTCTTGAAAACCTTATGCTTGACTCAGGAGGGAGGGGTTAGCAAATACAATATAAGAATCCTCTAAACGTTTAAGGTTTGCCTTAGTGTCTACCCCTGTGAACATTTAAAGTTTGCCTTAGTGCTTCAGGGTGAATTCCAGCTTGTATCCACGCCTCCCTCATATCCTGGTACAGCATTTGGTTTATTATAAATATTTAGTATAAAATTTGGCTTCCCACAGGAGAGCAGCAGTACTTCTCCTCATCCAGGTGAGCTCAGACCTGAGAGAAGCAGCATTAGCATGAGGGAAAGAACAGGACTGAAAACGTACACACCCACTGGTTCAAACGCAGGCAGCCCTAGCACCTCCAGCTGTGGCGCCCTTGGCAGGTCCAGCTTCCTCTCTGAGGCTCATTTCACTCCTCTTAGAAGAAACTCCCAGCCTCTCCTCCCAGCTGTTTGGAGATACAGAGGAGGCCCCACAATGAGAGTCCTGGGCACGGGCCTGCATGGACGCTGCACTCAGGACAGGGCAAAGCCCTCCTCCTGATTCACTGTCCCCCCACGAACACAGGACCTGTGTACAGACCTGCCCTGTGGGAGGGTGTCAGAGCTCAGCAGAGCAGAGCACACAGCAGGGCTGGGCTGTTAGATGAGTGGGGACTCAGGTTTGATGGACAAGTCTCTGTTCTGGTATCCACCTGAAGGAAAGGAAGATAGAGGGGTGTTTAAAAAACAAAAACAAAAACCAAACCAACAAAATGGATAAGAGGATTGTGAGCTCCAATCTCAACACTGCTGGTTAGTGGGCGAGGGAGCCTAGAAGTGAACATATAACCAATCTACCTGGGTCTCAATCAACTAGTGCTATTATTATCACAGAGTTACCACAAGGGCATGACTTCCCAAACGTCATTTCTTTTCTTACAGTTGAGCAGGTTAGAAGTCTCAATTCAGGATCCCAGCTCTCAGGGAACACCCTCTCCGTTCTGTCTGTCGGTTCTGGTTCTGGAGAGAAACCCTCCTTTCCGTCAACACCCATGGGCCAGGCGTTCTCTTCTCGACTCCCCTGTGGCTAGTCACTTCCTCACACAGGAGCAGGAGTCCAGAAGGACACGGTTCTCCCCTGGCAATTCTTTCCCGGGGACTCTCGGGTGTCCCCTTTCTCCGCTAGCCTGTCTCCTCTTCTCATCTCTACTGCTGTAAAAGGTGACACGGGTCACATGGGTAGGAAGATCCCCTTACCCTGATCACGGCTGTGATGTGATTCAAGAAAGTCGTACTCTTTTCTTAGTCCTTCCACAGCTTTGTGGCTTATCACATCATGGGGTATTGCTCCATAGTTCCCTCGCTGTGTCATGACATCCACGTATCCTGGGAGGACACAAGTCCACCCACGGCAGTTTCTCCACCTGTAACACAGCGGAGTTGGAAGGTGGCAGCGTCATGCAGCTTGGCTGCTCGATGGTCCAGGTGCTTGCAGGCGGGGGGGAAGCAGGAGAGAGCAGCCTTGACTCACCCATGCCCTTGCTTGTGCCCAAGGTCTCCCGTGGTACCTCAAAGCGCTGATTGGGGTCTCCGTGGCCCTCATCATTCTGGTCCTTCTCTTTCTCTTCATCCAACGCCAACGCCGGAGAAAACGCAGTAAGTAAACTGAAACAGGGGCTTTGTTCACGTGGCCACGTGAGGTGAACGAGATCTTTGGGGCGGACTAAAAGTCCACGCAGGGTGACAGCCAGGAGGCCAAGACATGAGCCAAGGGCACCTTAGAAACACTTCTCCACGTTCATAACTAGCAAAGGAAGACAGAGGAGATGGAAAGGAAACACAAATACAGCAGACATTCAGAGACATTCAGATCAAAGGAAGAGAAGGAGGAGTCTTTCTTGACAAGCCTGTAACTTGAACAATGACACCATGGAGGTACTCAGTCCTGGGGACAATCAGCCACACAGACAGGGGAGGACAGAAGGACAAAGACAAAGACCACAGAGAGGCAGTGGGAAGCACGGTGCTGGGATCTGGGAACTGAAGTCAGCGTGGTGACGTTTAAGATGTACGTGTGAATGGTTGGATGGAATGCGGGTCAGCTCTGAGAGTTTTCATTTGGGAGAAAGAAAGAAAGAGAGAGAGAGAAAGAGAGAGAGAGAGAGTGAGAGAGAGAGAGAGAGAGAGAGAAGAGAGAGAAATAAAGAGAGAGAGAGAGAAAAGAGAGAGAAGAGAGAGAACAAGGAGGGACAATCTCCTCTGATACCAGTCAGATCCAATCTGACAATACACACACGAATAATAATAAAACACTTAAAAAAAAAAAGAAACT